GATGTCAGGCCATAATACGGTTTACGTAACGGGTCAAGAGTTTACGATTAAAAAATTCATCGAGCTGCATCTCGGTCCACTTTCCTGTATTTCCGATCGGCCAGAACCGATTATACAATTTTCACGCGTACGATAATACATAGGGTGTCGGGAAAGTTCACGAAAATTTTGATGAATCCACCTCGCAGCCACACACGCGCCACTTACATCGTCATATCGCGTGTTTCGGTCCTTTCTGGTTAGAGAAGTAGGCTCTTGCCCTTAGAAAATATTCCAAGTTCCTCGGGACGCTCATTTGTCACGGACGCCCCGAGACGTAAAATAGTATGAAAATTCACGTGCGAGCATATTCATTCAGAAAGGTATATACGTATGTACATACCCGCCTAACGTAGATATCACAAAGTCAAATTCCATAAGGACGCGAGAGTGGATAAAAATGAGCGAGTATCTTGTAAAGAGAGTGAACCGAAAAAAAAGAAAAAAAAAAGAAAAAAGAAAAAGAAAAAGAAATGAATACCTCCAGCAACCCCTAACATTCTCCGTGACTTCTCTTCATCGGCAACGGCGCACGGCTATTCTTCCTCGATGTTTTACTCTCGAGCGTGATGCAGCTGCTCTCGTGCAATTCATCTGAAACTGCCGGAGCACCTAACGTCACGTTCCTCCTTTGCCCCCTTTCTCCTCTCTCCCCGCCTATCTCCCGTCAGTTTAGCCGGCACGATTTTGTATTATCCTCGAGATAAGAATGCCGCGCGACGATACACGCCGTTGACTTTGACTTCGGTAGTCCCTCTTAAAGCGGGGAGGCAAACCGGCAAGAGGATTTATCGAGTTTACCGTAGATTCCGGACGGGCGTCTCTTGCACGGGAGACAGGCGTAATTTTATTTTCCGGGGGTGAACCTGGCCCCTCCGTATTTCCCTGTAGAACCGGGACGAGAAGAACCCCCGGAGTGCGGGGCCTCAGTCCTCCGCCCCTGACTGACTGCTGCACGCCAGGGCTAAGCCGTACGTCTTCGCTCTGTGCAGTTGAGGCTGGTAATGGCCGCCTGCGAAGACTTCCTTTTTTTCTCGAGCTGCGCCAGAACGTCCACTTCCGGCGGCGATACGCTCGTCGACCCGACATGCCCGATCGTCCCGTATCACTTAACAGGAAATGACGTCACCCAGACGTTCAGCGGCTGAGGATCGTTTGAACCCACCGCGCTACCAGGGATCAGACGTCAAGTCGCGAGAGTTCCGATCGATATTCAGGTAATTACAAGAAAGGCTGCTAAGGGCTGGTAAAATTATTACGGTAATTTATTATCAATTCGTAGAGGCCCTGTAGTCCCTTGCTGTAGATTATATTTTTTGACGTCTTTTAAATCATTCCCTTGTAAAGTCTTCGTAACCTTATACCGTAGTAAGGGCGGGGAGGCGGGGAGTACTCTTATTTTAATGAGAAAAAGGGTTAATGCCAAAAAAATATTACGGACGCCCTGCTAACGGGTCCCCTTATCGGAAAGCAAATTATTATCTCCCCAAGAGAGAGCCACGAGTTAGCCGTATGATAGCGTACAATTTGCCGTCTTGTCATTTTACCGTATTTCTCCTTGTTTCGCGTGTAAACTCGGTCGCCTTGAGATACGATTCCGAATACGACTTTTTTTTCCGACTCTCACGCACCTTTTTTCCACGGTACCGAAGTTAGCGTGATTCGCTTTCCTATATTGGCAGCCTCCACGCAAAAGCACGTGCGTCCGAGCCTATACTGCGTTCACGGTGTTACACGTGGAGAAATAACAATGTCAATACACGCCATTGTTTTTTTATAGGGACGAATTTTTCTTTACGAGTCAAAAGCACCAATCTGCGTTAAACGAGGTTGGATCCTGAGAAAATAAAAGTCAAGTGTACAGCGATCTGTGTAAATGGAGCACCCTCGGTACCTGTGTTCAGATTAATTTTTAAATATTCCAGCATCCCGAAGCTCAGGACAATTGTCACTTTTGCCTCCTGCTGACGCATGAACAATACCCACAGCGTATATACGTGATATCAAAGTTACAAGGATGACGTCAGGGATACCTAATAACGCATAATCAGACGAGAAAGGATATTTCATTAAATAAATGAACCTCGTGTTATTCCGTTACGTCCAACTTTTCTTATGCCACGTCCCTGCAATAATGGGCATTAATTGTTATTACAACAATAAAGAAAGTATTAATTAGCTAACGTCGAGCGGAGGTCCCCGGGAGAGGGAAACGCTACTTTTAAAGTTTTATATAACGAGAGTACCTAGACAAAGTTTCTTTCAATCAATTAATAATAAACAAAGGAATTCCCTTCCATTACGTTAATTATTCTTAGCCTGTAATACTGGTAATAATTATTTTATATAAAAATAACAAAAGACTCGTGGCCTTTAATTTTCTTCAATTCCCACCGCCACTTACGGCTCTCCGGTAGCTCGAACTGGACACGGCGCGAGGTGCCGCGGGTCACGGCGAATCGACTGCGAATGAAACTGCCGAACCTGTGAAAAAAAAAAAAAAAAAAAAAAA